TCTAATCCAGTAAAAATCCAAAGATCAAATGTTCAAAAAAAAAAAAAATACTCAAAAGTCAACCCTCTCTCACATATCAACACTAGTAAGACTCCCCTTTCATTCTCCCGTTACTTAACACATCCTCCTCCTCTCTCTCATAAAAAATTTAAAAATAAATTATTTTTTAAAAGAATTAATACTAAAATTAAAAAAGCTTCAGTGTTACTAATTGAAGCTTTCAATTACCTTTAGTCGCCCTTGGTCGGATGACTCTATTTAAGACTGTAAGATGAATTTATTGAAGTCTGTAATATTTTATATTATAAATATTGATGATCCGATCCGCAATATAAGATGAGTTTTCAACTTTTATACGACAAACACTAAAGCACAAGAAGGCAGGACTGGATGGGAAAATAAGTGCACATGAAATGCGTGGGTAATCATGTGCTCCTCCAAGAAACATATTCTTGCACATGTTATAGTCACAAGAGAAATAAAAGTAGTTGGATCGATCTATTCTATCTCTGCAGATTACACATAAGAAATGAAGCACTTGATGATTATAAGGGGACCACACAACTATATGAATAATCTAATATCGATTTGTGACTCTCATAGTTAATAATTTGCTCACCTTCATCCTTCTACTCTTCCTTGAAATTTAATGAATGCTCTGGCCGAAATTTCCAAGCTTCATCTTCTTTTGGTGGATAGGGAGAGAGAAGGGGGGGGGGGGGGGGGAGGACAGGTTCTGGAAGTTGTAGCACAAGAAATTCAAGCACAAACTCCTCAATCAATAGGCCAAATTTTGTGTAATGACACAACCGGAGAACTCTTAAGATTGTTAGTAGTACAATGTCTGGTCCAGTTAAATAATTCATAGACTAATATTAAACAGGGAGAATCTCACTTTGCGTGTTAAAAAATTTTAGAATTTTTATTTTAGACCCTTAAAGATTAAATGTTTCACATCACACCTCCAATGTATCAAAAATATTGCAATATGACACTTTTATTGAGTGGGGCTATTCTCACTTCCACAAATATCTATTCCTATCCTATTTAATTTCTTATTATCAAACTATTAAGTCCACATTTTTTATACTCAACCCATTAATAACTAAGCACACCCCATGCTATGTACACCCATTTAATAAGTCTATCTTATATTTTTTTCACAATTAGGGTTTCATTTATTATTCCATCTCATATATTCACAAAAATATTTTTTCAATGTGGATTTCTCTAATGAGATACAAATTAGTATTACTTCTCAATTTAATTATATGTTTGATTTTATGTGTATTGTGTGGATTTCTTATATTTTTGTTGTGTTTTGGTATATCTGTCAAGTTTAATAATTTTAGAGTTAGGGTTTGTGTGTGTGTGTGTGAGTGTGTGAGTGTGTGTGTGTGTGTATATATATATATATATATATATATATATATGCATTCAGATTATTTTTCAAAGTGGTAAAAAATATTATTTCAATAGAAAACTTGTTTCGTTTAACAAGCTTGTGTCATTTGTGAATTAGCCTTTGTAAATTAGAAAGCCTGTTTAATTTTTTATATTTTTGGAGAAATATTTTTTCTTTTGTTTTCTTGATTTCATCTTTTCTTAATTTTTTTTTTCGGTTTTGATAAATTTTTCTTTCTTATTTTCTTTTTTGTTTTCTTGTTTTACTTAATTAAAGAGGTGTATATAATATGGAATGAACTTAGTTACTAGTGGGGTAATTATAGAAGGGGTGAGTTTAGTAATTTGATAATACATTAAAGATACAACGTAAAAAATTTTATTTTTGTAGATACAAAATAAAAATTCTTAAATATTTTAGAATATAAAGTACAATTCATCCTATTAAAGTTGAAAATGTCAGTGCTAATAATCATTAAATATTAATTTAAATAGTTCTTTTTTTCGGCTTGATGATTCAATTGCGTACCACCATTCTTATCGCCGTGATTCATTGCACACCATCAAAATATAATATTTTGTTAGGTAAGACATATATGTGCATTAAATAAGTTGAGCACCTAGGCAACTGTGACATCCAAGGCGCGGATCACAGAGAGATATATTAGTGGGGTTATATTATGTGTTGTGCACAATCGTGTCAGGTGAAGTGGGTATCTATCAGGTCTTAACGTGTTCATGTTAAAAGGTATTTCATCCACTCGAATCGTTTATTAATCCATGTCTAACGAGTCGTGTCATAATCAGATTTGTATCGTATATAAATCATATATATAACTAATATATTAGCTAGTCGTATTCTGTATTTCTTTTGATTGATTTCATCCACACCCGATTTATTTATTAATCGGATTATGTTGGGTTCACCTATTTGGAAAGTATGATATTGATGAAAAAAAATCATAAAATTAGTGGTAATCAATAAAGAATACTATTTATCTATGACCTTTAAGAATATTTAATTAGTGTATGAGACGGGTCAAATATTTACCTTATAGCAAATAATGAATAATTTTACCTAGATTTAATTATTGTATTAATTTGTTAATTTAATTAATTACTCTTGTTGGATTGACAACGAGGTGTCATATTGGTTGGAACGTATTATAATTTAATAAATATAATAAATTAAGTTAATAACAAAAATTCAAATAATATTGTTGAATGGAAAAAGGGATTCATAAATAACGTTTCTATGACCTTTTGTTTGTGCTCTCTTTTTCGAGCATTGGAAAATTATCCTATCCAATTACCCAAATCAGTCAGCCAGCGCCTTAAAAGAATAATATTAAATTATTGAATAAAAAATAATTGCATGCAAATAAATATAAAAAAATAGTGGCTAGTTAATGTAGAGTCGAAGGGTGATGAAATAAATGACACTTGGTGGAATGTGGTTAGAGAAAGTATTATTATGATAATCAAAAAAATCAAAACTCTCAGAAATTTAAAAAAATGGAAGGGAGGATTCTCAAGACTTATTCCCTTTACTTTATTTGTTTTATGCATGAGTAATGTTATTATGATCTAATTTGTTGACCTAATTCACTATTATATTTGGATTAATTATAGAATTTATCAAACATTAAAATTTAATGTTGATTCAATAGTTTTAATGAAACCGCATCATTATGATAATAAATTATATCAAATTTTTAAATCTAAATAACATTGTTTTTTAAGGTTAATCACAAATTACACTTTAAAAAATTATTCAAATTTCAATTTATACTATCAAAGATAGAAAGACCGCTCGTTCTTAGGGAGAAGCATCACATCTTATTCATAAGCGAAGCACAAAGATTGCCCCAATGGGAAGGCCAGATATATAACAATGAGGTGAATAAATCTCCTACAGTTCTTCATTTAGCTTGGAAGAAATGGTTGTGCCTATTGGAAAAAGATGTTTAAAAACAAATAGAAATGAAAATCGTGAAAAAATAAAAATAGGTCTTTACCGTACAGTGAACAAGAATGATGTCTTATTGAAAAAATACAAAACTTTTAAGAAATTCTTCTAATCAAATGCAATCTAAGGCTTACAATTTGTTAGAATTTGATCATAACTCTCTAATTGTCACGAATAATAGTTTATTGGGTAATTAATGTGAAAATCTTATATGGAATAAGATTATATTAGAAGAGTTTTAATATACGTGAATATGTTTGAATTACAATATTTTATTCTTATAAATAAAGTTGATTATTATGTAATCAGTTATCAGATAGTCAAATTTCAGTGAAATATACATCATTTTTGGTCTGTGGATGCAGGTATGGTGTACTAAGGTGGGTATACTGTATCGAACCACGTTATATCTTTGTGTCATATTTTTATTATTTTTCTATCTTTGAATTCCTATCTTCCAATAAGTATTATTTGTGTTAATTATCTACTATGCAAAACCCATAAATAGTATCAAAGATATATTTCAACACAATTTTTGAAAATGAAAGCGTTCACATGAATTATGGCATAAAGGTATACCCATCGATACAATTTCGATAAGTTTGTGACTTGCACCAAAGAAAAAGAGATAAAACTAGTCCTTGACAATGGTACAATCCACAACGAAGAACAAGAAAGGGAAAGAAGAGACTTTAAAGGAGAATCATCACATGGTAACCCCATTCTCTTTCTATTGGAAATGGAAAAAGAGAAAAGAATAGATTCCTTGGCAGGAAAAGAAAGGAGATTGCTGTTAGTATTCCTAAGCAACGAATAACGATTGCCCCAATCGCAAGTTAATTTAAAGTGTACAAAGATATAGCAGACTTATTTATACCCATATACCTAACAAATAAACGAATTAAAAATCCTTCATAATGTACTTTATTCTGCTCGGAAAAAAATGGCTGAGCCTATTGTCTCTTTTGTTGTATTTTTTAAGTTTTAAATGGTCTACTTGATGTTGGTTACTGTCAAGTTCCAATTCTCATTTAATTCTTTTGGGAACAATCATGCATGGTGAATTGCTATTTGATGCACCTAAATTCAAAATAGTGATTCTATCACTCACATTATGAAAATTTCATCATCCACAACTTTAACGACAATTCAAGTGGTAATGACGATGAATTGTAAATTCAAAAATTTTTGATTTCAAATCTTTGTAACTTCATGGGGTCATACCACGAGAGATTTATCCTTCATAAATATCATAGTCCTGACGTAGATGACTTGTCTTTGATTGGACCAGGGGAGATTAGTCGAGACAAGCATAAACTAGTCCGAATACCCCAAACTGTAGAATTAAAAAAAAAAAATCATCATCCACATATACTGTGATTTACATTATTTGTATTTAGAGTATACATCCAAACATAAGGAAAAGTGGGAGATTCAAGTGACTCATCGAAATGAATTGAACTCGTACCTACTGTTCTAGCCTCAATCGGCCAGAAAAAAAATGTCTGAGGCTGTTGTCTGTTCTTTTGTGCAAACGCTAACTGATCTATTGAAAGAAGAAGCAAAATTTTTAGCCGGAGGTGACGGCCAGGTATAGGGTATACCGCCTGAACTTAAGATGATGCAGATGCAAGGCAAATTGAAGACCACCGTCCGCACTTGGGTTGAAGGTGCTAGAGAAGTTGCATATCATGCCGAAGATGTTCTTGAGACTTACGTTGTCAAAGTTCAATCCAAGAGGAAGGGAGGTATCCTAAACATTCTCAAAAGATACGCCTGCTTATTGAATGAATGTATTGTATACTCCTTCACAAGGTTGGGAAAGAGACCCAAGATATTACAACCAGGATTTCTCAACTCACCGATCAATTAGAAAAATATGGCATAAGAAGTACTATAAGGGAAAGCGGAAGCCCAAGTTCTGCGCATGAAAGGCAACATCAGTTAAGGCGGTCTTATTCTCATGTTGTTGATGAGTATTTTTTTGGGTGGGAGAGAGATGTAGAGAACTTGGTGGTTCATTTGGTGAACGAAGATAGGGACAAGTACTACCAAGTTGTTTCCATTTGTGGCAGGGGTGGTCTAGGCAAGACCACACTCTTGCTTACAATCACCCAAATGTAAAGCGTCATTTTGATATGTTCGTTTGGATTTGTATATCTCAAAAATGAGAAACAAATGATATTTTGCGAGAAATCCTAATTAAATTTATCCCCAAAAAAGGTAAAGAGATTATGAAATGTAGAGATGACGAGCTATTTAGGGAACGTTTCCAAATCCAACAAAACAAAAGATATTTTGTTGTTCTAGATGATATTTGGTCAGTAGATGCTTGAAACCGGAAGCTTTTGACCATACCTGGCCCCTACCGAAACCTTATTACCAAACTCAATCATTTTTTAACTTTTCCAAACACAGTTTTTTTTTTAAAATCGTCATTTAAAATTATGCTTTCATCCATAAAATGTCATTCCGAATGACAGTTTTAAAGTGGATAAAATTGTTGTTTAAATCATCATTGATAATGACATTTAAAAAAGCTAATTTTTAAACTGTAACTAACATTGTTAACTTACACACTAAAAACTTTAAAAATATTTTAACTAAAAATAATTATTAACCATGTTTCGCAAAAAAATTTACAAATTATGAAGATACAAAAAAAAATCAAGTTATGAATTAAAAAAAGTTAATTCATTGCATTACATTTCCAAAAATGCATAAGATACAATTTGTGTATAAATGAATTTTGTGATTGATTTTGGAATATTCTGTATATGTTAAAAAAAATATCTATTTTAAAACAATGTCGTAAGTTCATCGAATAATGAGATTTGACCCAAAAAAATGTACAAACCATGCACATATAAAAAATTATACTTATACATTAAACAAAACCAAGTTATTACATGAGACTGTAAAAAATACAGTCTATCAATATTATGGTTGATGTTTAAAACAGCATAGAGGTTACCGAATACACATCAACTTGACAGAATAAAAGTGTTGAACGCACCATTACTTAAATGAGAATAATCAGAAAGTTTAGAATTGGAAACAAGTAACGGATCTTCTAAAATTTCAATCTAGACATAGTCAAATCGAAATGCTCAATTTTTGCATATTTCATTATTTACAAACGATCAAGTCGATGTTGCATCCGATCATTTTCACGTTCAAACATTGTTATGATCTCGTCATGGTTGTTTGAATTTTGTGGATCATATATATCAACCGAACATGTCTTCGGTACTATTAGTTCATGCCAACAACAATATTCTTCAAGCTCACAATGTTTGTCATATAACTGTCGTCATCTTGGTGTGGGTTCGACATGAACACGCGGAGGTGGATAGTCGGTTGCAGGCCCAATAATTACGTGTCCAACTTGATCAAATGGGTGATAAGGGTCGTTGGGCTCATTATGGAACTCATGCTTTTATCTATACCAAGTTACACCACTAGAATCTGTGTAAGATCCAATTAAAAGAACTATGTTCGACAATGCTGCTCGGCCAGTTGAGCATTGATGGTCATTACTCGAAGATGAACAATGTTGTTCATAGGGTGATGAAGAAGCTTAGGTGTTTGACTGGATTGCCTATTTGATGTGTGTCTAGACATGTTTTAGGTAGACCATATAATTGCAAAATCTACACACTAACATTATATTATTCTCTCTTTGAACATGTTTTACTGTTGATTCATAGTTCTCTCTATTCCGACATTGCATTGTTAGTGATCGTCTACGAGGCACTGACATGCCAAGTTTTCTTAGTTGTGTAAATAATTCGTCTAATTCATTAGTACAAAAAAGCCCACTCTTGTCGTACTCCTGCATAATATTCTTTTGGATTGAAAAACCTCTCAGTCTTGTAATCATCATTTCGCTCTTGTAACAACCAAATTCGTTCACATCTGCGATTGTTATATCTTGTGGAGAAATTTGATTTAGATATAATTTTCAATATTTGTCATATCAACTACAAATAAGGTGTTTAAATATTAGTCTCCAAACCCTAGTGTATTGAATAACTTATAGCAGTCAATAGTAAGATAGTATAGTCATGTGAGGTCATTTAAGGTTTAATCACGTGTCAGACTCGTGTAAGGTAATTTCACTCTATTTCACTAGTTAGCCTTATCAACTGTGTCTAGTGACTGCATGACTATGGAGCTTATGTCCTGTACACATTTGTGTCCATGAAAAATTAGGGTTTTGACACTTTAGTACATGATTTGTTGAAAAAATCACCAGTCTATACTCACACTCATCTAAGGTGTTTTAACTATTAATTAGTCACGAGTAGTCACTTTTCCATATACAACCTTATCAAATGTGTGTTGTCACTTTGGCACATGGTTTATTGAAATGCTCACTAGTGTATTCATTACAACACATGGTTCATCAATGAATGCAGGGTTTGTCATTTTCATCTGGAAATTCATTGATTCAGTGGGCTGTCAAGTCATGATGTGGCCTGCTGAAAAGTCAAGTAAGTGCAAATCCATTGAAACCAGTTAGTGTATTGTCAAATCATGGGAAACATGAAAACAATTAGTGTATTGTCAAGTCATGTCAATCATTTTTCAGTAAATTGATATGTCCATAGAAACCTTGATATTTCAAGATTATTTATTCGTCGTGTCTAAGCGACTCATTCTACAAAATTCATCTTCAACCATGAATTATATTCTGAGAACGTCATATGAAAATATTGGTTATCATTGAGACTTAGAGGATGAGTTCTTCTATCGATTGAATTTTCATTTACGTTATTCAAACAGGGCCATAAGCACCATGAGGGCCAAATTGCAATATCATTTGACAGAGCAAGAAAATCTTGGTGCAGATATGCATACTTGCAATATACGAAGGCCTTGACAAATTGACATCCACATGTCAATTGAGATATCTCAACAATTGGAGCAAGCATTGTATTGTTTTCGAGCTAGGAACAATCACATGACAATCCGTTTAAATCGGTACAACCTCTGTCGCATTGCATGAGACCATGCTAAAGAAGAGTTAATGGAAGAAGCACATAGAAGTTTCCTCTTAAATGGTAATGTTGGATGTATTTCTGATATCAAGATGTTTGGCGAAGATGTTGACTCATGAAACATATTGTGCGAAGAAATGTTATGTTAGTGTTGTGTAGACAAGTATTATGGTAGTGTTGTATTAAGAAGTGTTATGTTAGTGTTGTGTCCAGATGTCTCTTAAGTGTTAGTGTTATTATTGATTCGAGATGGCATCTTTGAACATGTGTTAATTGTTTGTTAAAAAATTTATATTGAAGTTGATTTAAATGGGTTGTGTACAATATTGATTTTATATGTGACAACTTGATCAAAGACTAAAATTAAAATTTCCAAAAAAAAAATAATTATAGTCAAGCATTTACCAAAGAAAAAATTTGTACAATTCCAAAAAAAAAAAATACATCAAAATTATATGCCAAATGGAGGTGGTCACCTACGTTGCTTCGGCTATCTTTGAAGCTCATGCGCGATATGGTCCATTTTGTGTCTCCTATGGTCCATTTTGTGTCATTTGTGAAACACCGACATCATAACCATGATGTACATGATGTGCATGACCCTAGCCCCGAACCCATGCCAGACCCTATTGTCCACTTCGAACTCGCAGTCCGATTCTCACATGACCTATACCTACAAGTGTAACATCCTGCATCAACCCCTCCTCAGCTAACATAAGATCTAGGAAAGGATGCTCTAGAGCAAAAGGTTAGTTGGAATGTGTGCGGTGACCCCATTGCTGCATGACATGGCAGGGGTGTCAATGTAACTGATGTCCCAACTATTGACACTGCTAGTGGAGTGCAAAAGGGAACATCTACAGGTGTAGGAGCAGGTGTCACTGCAACAGTAGGATTCAGTACTATTGAGATGACTGGTGATAGTGTTAGTGCTAGTGTCCATGTCAATGCTAGTGTCGATGTCGGTGCTTGTTCTAGCGACGGAGGTGGTGGTCATACAGGTAATGGAGGTATAAATATAGACGATGGTGGCGCAGAGATAGGAGTAGTACAAACACCAGAAGGCAATGGCTGCGTAGATGTAGACGCAACATCAGCTACCGAGATTGGAGCGTCGACAAGTCGTCACTACTCACAGGTAGATGTCAAGCACGAGGATCGTACGACCCAAATGTTTAGACATGCAACAAACTACTCAATTGCATCATATGTGAGTGCATTGCCTAAATTCTCAAACAGTGCACTAAACCATAGTGTGGACTTATCTATTACCCCATATGCTGGTGTGAACCCGAGCAACTTAGTGCACATGAGACTTTACTATTGTACATCATGCACAATATCCACGCCACATACAGGAATCCCATCAACTGGCAAGCCGAGTAATATAGTTGTGTCCTTAAAAGTGATGGTGGTCTCACCAACTAGTAGATGAAATGTGTGTATCTCAATACGCCAACGCTCAATAAGTGCTATGATAAGATGCTAGTTTAGCTGGATGTACCTAAGACAATAAGCCCCATAAAATTCAGCTGTGCATAGATACTAAATAACTCGCTCGTCAGTGATGGTACTTGACGAAATGGAACCTCATATAGTCTACAATGTAAAGGTGGGAATTCAATGCCCTCCTAAATATCAGTCGCGTGATGCTCACACTGTAATGATAGTACGGATACATCATCAAGACCTGAATGTACTAATGATCGCAGATTATGATCCATGTCCATAACTTACATCACCACACAACATAAAATAATATCGTTAATATATAAATAACATAACACTACTAATACATCAATTATGAAACAAGTGCTAATGTTGATATTTGATAGCTGAATCAATAATCTTTCCAAGATAATTAAAAATACAAAAGCTTATGCTTATACAAAAGTAAATGCAAGAGAAAATTTTTGTTTATGATTGTCAATATTAGAAGCAATCAAAAACTTATGCTTATACTTATCATTTACAAATGTGTCGTCAATGCTAATTACAAACCAACAATGAACAAATCCATCAATCGAAGCTTTGAAAACCCATAACACCTTGCCAAATATGTCGAAGGTGTGAGTACGAGCTTTGTACTACCACCTTATTGTCGTCCCGAGTTTGTATTTC